ACAGGGTCAGGGAATTAGTGTACATAATGGTCATTTTGATAATGGGCCAACAGATGCAACTGGAAACATACTGTACACAATTAAGCATAATGCACTAATGACAGGTTAGAGTTTTTATCGCCTCTTTGCGATCGAGCAGCAAATCCAAGTTTAGCAGTAATAAAGAGTTTATTGGTGCTAAAGCCAAAGATTTTCTGAAAGAGGAAAGATTTTTCCTTTCATAACAAGAGTGTTAAACCCTTTGTTTACTAGGCTCTAGAAAAGAGATATGCAAAGTGGTTGTCAGATATTTCTTAGGAAAAAGCCAATTAAAGGGTAATCGAGTAAAGGATGAGAATTACCATTTGACTTCAAATGTCTCCTCTTCTCCTGCTCTCTCCTGCCTCCACCCTGGAACGTCGTCGTGCCCCTGTGGACAGCTTCTCTTCCAAAGAACTTCAGAATTGCAGATAATGATCCAAAACGGAGCTTTTTTACTCATGAAAGTAGAGCAGGCTTGTCACATCTTAACAATTCTGTATTTTGTAGTAGAGCAAGATCTCATCTGTAGGCTTAATTGAACTCACTAATCGTGTACCTGAAATACAGAGGAAAATGAAGCAGAATTATTGGAGTAAAGCAAAATGGTGCCTGCAGGGCTGATGCAGTTTTCTGTCCTCTGTCCTGTTTGAGTCGGGTGTTTGGAAGAGACCTTACCTGATAACTTGCTCTTGTTGCAGATGTTGGAATGCAGGGGTTGGACTAGATGACCTGTAGAGGTCCCTTCCAACCCAAACCAATCTATGATTCTATGATGAAGGGCTGGAGTTTGCTTGTCCCTACAGCTTTCGTCTGACATCCTTACCAGGGATCCCATCTATCCTCAGTGCAGATTTTGGGTTGGGACGTTGTCACCAGGACACTCAGTACCCGAAATATAAAGAACTAAACATTTCCTTCCTGCTGTGGTTTATCTGCATGAATGGTGCTTCTGTTTGGGGTCTGGTGGAAATACACCTTACTAATGAAGTAAAGGACGTAGGATGTAGTAGGTGGTTTTCCATCACAAATATTTCTTTACCCAAACAATATTTGAATTGGACCAAACTAAATCCACCACTTGTGCTTATAATACCGAGTCTTTTCTCTCTCAGTGCTGAAATTCAAGTACAAAAGTCTTTCTGGTCTATTTGCTACAACACCTCCTCTCTAAAAGGTTAAGAAGAGGTGAAAGGGATGAAAAGGCACTTGCAGGGTTTAAAAAATCTATGGGAAAAAAAAAAACAAACCATCTTTCATATCACAAAAAAAGTCTCCTGTAGGTTGTTATGTGCATAAGGTGGAGGCTTAAGAGCAGACACATTTGCAGATGAACTGCTTTTACCAGCTTCTCCGAGACATGACATTTGTTCAGAAGATTAGCCAGGTTGTAATGTGTAGCATAATTGCACTGTGCGGATGTCCCAGAAGTGAAAACCTAATTGCTTGACAGGCCTATAACTTTGTGGTACGCTCTCACCTTGTTAGGTCCTTTTCCGCGGCGGTTCAAACGCAGCCTGGCCGCAGGTGTGCCTCATTTTCCTCCCACCCGAACGCCGGGGCTTTAATTGCACAGTGGTTGTTAGGAAAAATTGGTGGGTGGAATATCAAGTGACTTACTGTACGGGGCTGGCAGATGGGCGTTGAGAGGCACCGCCAGCTAAGTGTATAGGTGAGGGGAGTTAATAAAAGATGTAAATTTTATCTTAAAATAGTGGAGTCTTGTGGTAGGTAATACATTTTAATTAGGGTGGTTGCAGTCCCCTTTCGAGCAGCGTGGAAAAAAATCAGAGCAGAGGAACATCACAAAGACTGCATTTTTCTCCGTATCAGTATTTTAGGAGCAGCTTAGTATGTCTAGGAAAGCTATTCTGAGAGACTGTATTTATTAAAAAAGACTACAATTTGTGGCTGTGATACAAAATGTAGCAGGGAGAGGCAAACCTGGAAAGCGTTCTCATTCCATTGGTAGTAACGAAGTTTGAGGCACGACCCAACCAGCTCCTTGCTTCTTGCTGTGTCACAGAGGGGTGGCCTCAGGAGCACAGGGCTCGCAGGGAAAGACCCCAGCCCTGGTCTCTGCAGGGATGGGTTTGTAGCACTCGTGGTCCGTGTTGGTCAGAGGAGAGGAGCAATCAAGTCAGTTGTCTTCTCCTGGCAAGCTTTGAGGGACATCCTGCTTGGGAACATGGTTTTTAACTTGTCTTCCTCAGAAAATCGTGATGTTACCTTTGCTCCGTGAACTTTCTGAAAACACAGATGAAAAAGTAAAATAAAATGAAATATCTCTGTATCAAGGAATGTCACAGAGCTGAAAAGCAAGTGCTGCTTGTCTACACCCCAGTCTTGTGGCTTCAACACTTAGCCCAGTGCTCAGGGTCATCCTAGGAAACCTGAAGAGGTCTGTTTCCCCTGAGCGTGGGTCCTTTTCACCAAATAATTGAACAAACACCAGTTCCCGTTGATGTTTTTTGAAAGGGTGCTTAATGGCCCTTTTTTTTCTGACAGGATGTGAGCTCTCTGTATAGAAGCAATTCATCATGAGTACTTCACGTTAAAAACAATCCACGAGGAGCAATACTTAGCATTCCTAGTGCACAATTCATTGGAGAATTTCCGAGCAATTTACAAACATTAGCTCAATAAGCCTCACAACACCCATTTGAGATCGGGAAAAAAAAAAAAGAAGAAGATAAGATACTCCTCTTCAGCCTGGCTCTGGCACTAAGGAGCTGCAAAGCTGGTGGCTCTCCCCAGCTCCTGGCTCCCCAGTGCCTGGTGACGTGGGCATCAGCTGGTCCCTGCACATCATCGCAGTTCATGTGGTGGAAGATGTGCAAGTAAGGACAGAATCAGAATCGTTTTGGTTGGAAGAGACTTTTAAGATCGTTGAGTCCAACCGTTCCCCCAGCACTGCCAGATCACCTCTAAACCATGTCCCTCACCCCGCATCTCCACGGCTTCTCAATCCCTCCAGGGGTGGGGACTCCACCACTGCCTTGGGCAGCCTGGCACAGCCCTGGGCAACCCTTGCAGGGAAGAAATGCAGCATACAACAGAAATGCCTTTATGATTAGTCTATACTCAGTTGACCTGGAGATGAAAAAAAACTAAAAAAACCCCAGGCAGATAAAATTAGGGTGAGGATGTGGCTAAAAAGATGCAGTTTTCTGGAGTTCCTGATAGTGTCCCTGCAACACTGCCCAGAAAACCTGAGCTCAAGTGAGCATCCGAGCTAGGAGATCATGTGAGCCACCACAGAAATCCAGCTCTCTTTCAGCTTGACAGATAAACCCCTTCACAGATTTTTGGATAGGATGTTTTAAAGAAACATATTCAGCTGACCTCACAGCATCAATTTATCTATGCACAGTTTCAGTGAGCCTCACTGTTTCCCTACTTGCCTCTCTGATAAGAGAGATTTCTCCTTTGGCATTAACATGCCATATAATATTAGTGTCCTGCTCAAGGCTTAACTGAAAAGGAAAAGCTGTGATTTAAAGCACTGTTTTTTTGATACAGAGACACTCCCATAATGTTCCTGTCTGACCCTTGGAGCTTCTCAAGTGCAGCCATGGTCATACTTCCTATCAGCCACAGTTGGTGCTGAAGAAGGGAAGAGGCACCTGGCTTGCCTCCTGCAGGGATGCTGTTGGCACATGGAAACTGTGAGAATAGTCACAGTCACTCCAACAGGAATATTTTATAGTTGTTCCTATTCCAAATGTAAAAGCTCCACCCAGTCTCCCTGTTCAACATGCACGAAGCTGGGCAGCACAAGCTGCTGGGCTGGAGCATCTGAGAAACTTTGGATGAGGAGAAAGTTCCAAGACTTTATTGCTATTTCTAACCAAAAATTGAAGTAAAACAGTAGTGGACCTTATTCCCAGATATTTAGTTCTGGAGAACAAATTATTTGGCAAGGAAGATGTATTCCAGTGTGACTTTTCAACATAGTTCATACTTTACCAGCTGTTAGCTGAAAACCAGGCCCATAGAACACTTTGAAAGTTCTGAAACATGAAAACATACCTATGTAAAGACAGGAGGTGGTGTTAGGCTGTGAACACCCTCCTGGGCAGGACATTGAGGGTCCCCCCACCTTCCATGGCCTACAGGGTGGGACCTGCCATATCAGCTCGCTCCTCCAGGGCCGGAGGGTGGCACAAAGAAGTTTGCACCTCTCCAAGCTTCTCCCCTTCCTCCAGGTGCTTGCTGTGCTCCCAGGAGGCAGCGCTGCCACAAAACCAGTTGGCAGGGAGGTGCCTGGAGGATAAGGGTTCGTCCTAAATAATTGCTGGTTGCCGCTCAGCGAAAAAAAAAGCTGGATTTCCATCCCTGGGTAGAGTGACTCCTTACAGTTAGAGGCTGGCAAAGGTTGAAGAGGTCATAAGACAGGGCCTAATTTGCCATGTTCCTTTCCTTTCAAAAACAATGAGGGAACCGGGGCCTTGCCAGTGGGCAGATCCCGCCTGGATCTCCCTGGAGTCAGCAGGAGTTGGATGGAGTCCCTTTGAATAGTGAAAGTTTCCAAACCTGAGGCAAAGCCAAGTGTTTTTCAGAAGATTGATCATTCGTTACCTTGGAATTTTTCAACGTGGAGGTCATTACTGCTAATATAAGTTGTGAAAAAATAAAACATATTAAAAAAATAGAGACAAATTCTCATCTGGTGTAAGTCATGAAGCCCATGAGTCATTGAAATCAACTTTCCCACACCAAGCTAAGGATATGGCCTAGAGTCAATACGTTTGTAGTTGTTGAAAAATTAAAAATATAAATTTGCCTTTCCCTGGCAATAATGTTCTGTTTACAACAGAGTTCTTATGCTTTAAAATAAGTTCATTAACTAATAGGAAAGTAATATTTCACTACCAGTATTCTTTCGGGTATAACTATTTATGATTAAATATTATTAAACTTTTTAAAAATTGGATTTACCTTTTGATGAATCTAATAGATTTCAATTTTGTATTTTTATAGATTCTTTCTAAAGTTTTTCCTCAAGTGCAATCAGAACTGTTTGAAGAATGCAGGCAACCCGAGAGACATGCGAAGATTCCAGGTACAGATCCCTCTTAAAGAATAAACAATATATAGAAGACTTACTCACATCTTCATCTTCAACTTTTTTTTTAACCAAAAAAACCCGATATCAGTGCTTCTACTTAGTGTAGTTCTAATGCTGTGTGCCTTAAAAAAAAAAAGAAGTTGTTGGTGTTTTACATTTCCCCTGCTAATTTAAACGCTGTTTCCTGGGACTCACCTAGTTCTGCAGTGGACTGTAATGGATTGATGCTGAGGCAAGTGAGTCTCTCCTCTGAGTATTCCCATAGATTTTTTTTCATACTAACACCTTGTGTTGTAGCGTGGCGTGTGCTCAGACCTGCAGAGGTTTTATGTACACCTAGACTGAGTAGCATACATAGTCTTGCTAGCAGACATAGCCATGACCTTGAATTTTGGATCTCACACAGCAGTTTTTCACACTCACAACCTGTAAATCCAACAGCGGTGGTCCAGCCCACATCTTTTTATTCCATTTGTGCTAGAAAATGTTTAATACTTCACTTTCTCCTTACAGCTTTTGAAATGTCCTGTGGTGAATCATAACACTACAGAGAGGCAGCTGACGTGATGGACAAATGATTTCCTCTCTATTTGGGGTCATTTGAAAGGCTTGTTAGGGAACGCGTGGTTTTTATTTCAAAATATTTCACAATGATTCATACTCGTGACTAAAAGTAGTGCTGAGATGTTCAAAACTTTCTTATTTTTGAGAAGAATAACTTGTGCTTAAACTTGATAGCAAAACATGTGACATCTGTTTTCATGCACAGCCAACCAACCGGTGAAGCCAGCACCCTTGAGCCAGCCAACAGAAAAGAACTGTAGCTGGAAAAAAAAAAAATATTTCTTCAAAACAATTGAGCCAAGGTTCCATTTTTCATGTATCTCAGCTTCACGTGGCATTGGTGATATTGATCCATCTGAACAGAACAGAAGGTCAAACCTGGAATGAGTGGAAATGTCCTCTTTGTCTCACCGATGACTAAATGAAGCATCAGTCATGAGTGATCTTGTGGTCGACAATGGAGCCAGTAGGCACTAGAAAGACTTTCCTGGGTCTCTTTAGCTAATCTCCCTGCCTCTCAGAAGGTTTAACTGGACTTAACAGTATGTCAGATCTCGAACAATATTTTTAACTGGTTTCACTGTCTCAGCACCTTCCTTTAGGTGCGCTGCAGGAATAAGCCGATATAACAAAGCGTAGCACGTCTACTTTCTTTTGCTGAACTACAGGATTTTCCCTTGGTGGCTGACCTATATATACATGACAGAACAAAAATAGTTGTCATTTTTATATACACCTTTCTCTGTCTTTTTAATACACCGTGTTCTAGGAACCAGATCCCGAAATCTTTGCTGAAAATCACACTTGCATGTTTTGCGGTATCGCCTAAAGTCTGTGAATCTCATTAAGAGTGAAAGCAGCCAGCCCAGTGGCCTGGCAGCAGCTCTGCAGCCAAGGTGAGCGTGCAACCTCAGCACTCTCCAGAGTGGATGTTGACAAGAGCGAAAGTGTCCACTTCTGGGAGGAGAAAGGGAGGGAAGCAGAGCAGCCTGGCAGAGAGCTGCCCTCGGGCTGTTCTAAAGGGTACCGCAGATGGCTGTCTCCAAGGAGGCACCATACACAGGAAAGGTGCTGTGATAGCTGAAAGCTAATTATGGGTTGTGAATAAGAAACAGGATCAGAGGTGATCCAAAACATAGAAGCAGACAAGAATATTCTTCTGATGCCTTGGACTGGCTCTGTGCAAAAGGAGGCTGTTTTTTTCCCCTTCCGTTTTTGTTCATCGAGTGTTCGGGTACATGAGCTGGTGTGAGAACTCTGCTCATCATTTTTGCTAAATTTAACCAAAAATGAATGGAAGGCGAAAGCCAAAATCCAAACCAGCTTTTGCCACCGTCACCAGTAGGGTCCCTGTCGCCCAGCTTGGCCGTTGACTTTAAGGACTCTACTAACGTCCCAGCCCAAAGGAAATGCTGCAGTGATAACTTCACGTAGAAAATGCGGAACCCCCACCACAGAGCCCGTTCTGGAGTATTTAAATGAGATGTAAACGTCTCTGTGGGGTAAGGTGGACCCAGGATGGGGTGTCCCACACCAGCCCAGGCTCATCCCCGGGTCTCCTCTGGGGCTGGCGTTTCCGGAAGGAGTCTCACCACTCCATTGTGTAGGTGTTTTTTCTCTGGAAGGTTGCACGTTTTGCATATGTTCCTTTTCCATTTTCTACTGAGAGAAGCAGCTGGAAGCCAAGGGCGGCCCTATCCATCATCTCTTCTATGGCCGGACTCTGAACCTGGACACAAGAATAGGAGCCTTTCACTCAAAAAGAAAGGAGGAAATTCCATTGACATACCAGGGTCAATCACCATCCAAATGAACTTGAGAAGGGATACTTTTCAGGGATTGCAAACACTTTCACTATTCATATTCAACTCGGTCTTTTCACATGCAAAAAAGTTCATTATCAGACATTAAATGTAATTGTAAAACTGACCTGGAGATCATTTACTGGAGGAAAAAAATGGGGAGTGACGATGGTTCCTGATTTATTAAGCTTTTTTTTTTTTTATTATTATTTGGAATCCTCACAGCCCTTCATTTGAAGACAGTCTCAAGTGAACAAATTTTAATTAGATAAACTATCTAATCAATATATCAACAGATCAATCAAAACAGCAGCTTTTAAAATGAGTGGCTAGAGGGGTGTTTCTGAAACTAATGGCTAGAAGAATATTTCCCTGAATTGAATTCATTTGTTAGCATAATAGGAGATTAAACTCTAATTAGTGTAGCAGGTTCTGAAGAGAAACAATTGTGGGTTAAAAATCACCAGTGTTAGCCACATAAACAAAGATGTATTCAGAGTTGTCATTCACCCCATTTAAAGGGAAAAGTAACGGGCTGTGGTGTTGCTGTGTCTTCAGAGGAGATCCGATTCTCTAGCTGGGCTTATGAAAACAGGCAGGACGTTTTAAATTTGGGGTTTTGTTTTCTTTTTCAGGTTGTTGTATCAACAACAGTCAATGTGGATGGCCACGTGCTGGCTGTCTCAGACAACATGTTTGTACACAACAATTCCAAACACGGGAGGCGGGCTCGCCGCCTTGACCCCTCAGAAGGTACGGCCCCTTCTTATCTGGAAAATGGTAGGCACACATTTACATGTCTTTTTTTATTTGCAATGCTTTTTTTTATTTTTATTTTTTTTATTTTTTATTTTTTATTTTTTTTGGCACCATACTTTATGTTGATACACTACTACATTTACTTTTACATAATTCCTTCTCTCATCCATCAAACCACCCATTCAAAAAGTCCATTAGTATTTCTCAGCCCTTGTCAAGCAGAATATGGGCGCTTCTGAATTTGCTTCTGACTTCTTTCTTTATTTAATACTTACAGTTTTGCAGTCACAACCAATTTTTCACCTTTTTCTATTTTTTTTTTTTTCCCAGTCTTGTTTTGCTTGCAGCTTTTTCTTGCTATTTAATTTGACTTGATTTTATTTTGGCTTGTCATATTCCTTGATCCAGAGGTACAGTCTCAGGTTATGTATGCAAGTTTAAGTGGATGGTAAAAACATGACCGAATCTGTAAAGAATTTACTGTGAGGTCAATTTCCTGTGGCTGGGCCTTACTGCAGATTACGGCAGGAGGGGGTTTGTATGAGAAAAACAGCATAAAATGTTTTTCTTCAGACTGACTCAATGTGATTGACTTCTTGCCTGAACTGCTAAAAGAAGATAGTCTGAGATGAAGAGGAGAATGGAAAGTGTCTCTGAAAATCCAGAATTGTGAAATATTATCTTTCTGGAGCCCATCAGCCTCTGAATCGCTCGCCCGCAATCGCAGCTGCGCTCATGCACGTGCACACATGTATTTATTCTCCCCCAAAGCCCCAAATAATAATTTAGATTTAAATATCACTTTGCTCGCACTTTAAAATGCACCAACGTAAAGACACAAACCAGCTCCCAAGAAACCTGTTTTAAAATAAATTAGAATAGAATAGAATAGAATAGAATAGAATAGAATAGAATAGAATGGAATTAGAAAAGAAGTAGAGTAGAGCAGAGTAGAGTAGGGAGAGTAGAATATTTTCAGTCTGAAGTGACCTACAAAAATCATCTAGTCCAACTGCCTGACTACTTCAGAGCCAAACAAAGATTAAATGCATAGGTGTCAAATACATCTTTAGTTCTTAGAGTTGGAATTCTCAAAACCACTGTGGTTTGACTTATGGTTGCATGGCCATGCACCCCATTTTCCACCGGACTCCTCTTGCGAGTTGTTACTAACATATTGATAGGATCATAGCTTTTTACACTAATAAAATTAATTGAAGTAATAACAGAACACTAAGCTGCTAATACAATCATTGTCATTTTACGTTTCAAATAGTATTTACCAATGGGCACGCAGAGAAATAAATGAGGCAAGCAACAATTATCAGAAGGAAATACGATCTGGACATCAAAAAATGGAAAACGACTTACAAATCTGCTGCAGTCCACACACACAGAACTAATTTGTTTTTCTGCATTAATAACGAAGGTATAAGAGAAGAAAAATATAATAATTAAAGGTCGCCCTGAGCACAGGAGTCATTATGGTCTATGACGTATTGTTTATCTCTTTCATATGCACTGAAAGTAGGTGTGTGTTTTGCCTAGCAACCGTCACTAATGAGGTTCACAATTAAGAAGGCTGAATCCTCTCCCCTAGTCCTCTCCTTCCCCAGAGAGTGAGAACTAGCAACATTATAGGTTCAAGTAAGCACGCTCAGCCCTGTGGTGTTAGGTTTTAGTCTAGGTCCAAATTCAGCCTCTTCTAATGAGCTATTATGATCTTAGCAAAATACAAGTATTTATTTTTGTAAGCTGCACGAGAAGAATTTGACTCTAAGCAGAAAATATCACTTAGAAAAATAAAGGCCGCTTTTTACGTGCTACAGAAAATCTACAGAAACCTCACTAACCAATAGCTCTTTTTTTTTTTTTTTTTTTTTTTTTGTGATATGGTAATTGATCTGCTTTATTTCAGTGTCAAAAATAGAGTGCCAAATCCTCTCTGCCTAACCTCCCATAAACGCCCATTCAAGTAAGCTGCACCGTTGCAAATGA